CATTGCCTGAGTCATGACGACCAGACCATCTCCCATGAGATGTTTGGTACTTGATGCTTGGAGAACCTTGTGTTCGATTTCCATGGAATTGTAGCCAAATACTCTCGCAACCAGCTGTTCTGCAAATTTAGTAAAGTCCAGCTTTGTTCTGGCCTCTTTGACCACAGAGCCGAAAGAGAGTGGATCTGTGATGAAATGGAAATAAAAGCCTCCCAGCTGGACTGTGAAAATATCTCCGTGTTTGTCTTTCATTCTCTGCAGGAATTTGGCCGTGTCCTTCCTGAATTCCAGCACATGGCCAAACCAGGGAATAGGACCCTTATCTAGAGGGGGTTCTCCAGCTCGTCTGCGGCGAAAAGACCCCAGAAGGTAGAGGGCACCTATGACAGAGATGAATAGAGCAAGCAGGATTTGGAGGAGGCTGCCCATGTTCCTCTTTGGCGTTCTCTTGGCTGCGCTCTGCTCTGTTTCTAATTCCTCTTTCTTGGCAACTGTGTTAATGCCCCACCCCTGCTCTCATCATGTGACCTCATGCAGTGGAGGAAATGACTCTCAGTGACTCTAAAGTTTCTTTACAATATTGTTTTTTGTCTCTGGAGTTACCATTTTTGTAATTATATCATGTTTTTATGTTGTTGTTTTTTGTGCCATATTTTACAACATCAGACACTATTCAGATCATTTATGTAATCAGCTTTTAATAAACATTAAATTATTTAAGTTCTAAAACTAATGCTATATTAACTAACAAATGGTCTGAGAAAAGGAAAAATAGGGATAACACTAGTTTAGGGGCCATTTCTCACTTATTAGCATGCATATTAAAGGCATGTTGACTGTTCATTACTCATTAATGCCTTATTCTGCATAACCATATTTTAGATATTTTAATCATATAACCCATACCTAAAATTAACAACTATTAATAAGCAGCAGATTAGAAGTTTATTGAGGCAAAAGTTGTACTTAATAGTTAGTTAATAGTGCAAAAAAATTGTCCTCAAAAGTGTGACCAAAATAGGATTTAAATCACAAACTGCAAGAACAAAAGATTAATAAAACTATGAACTAAATTAATAGTTTAATACTAATTATTCACATACTATGGGTAGCTGTGCGAAAACAGCAGTGAAGAATAGCTTATGCTGAATTTAGTATATACTGTCTAGCTCCTACATAACATTCTGCAGATAATGTAGTGATGTAGACGGGAAAGGATCAAAGGTATTCTTATCATTGAGATACGAGAGATCTGGTTGCAGTAGTTAGACATGACCTTGATGGTGCAATAGAGGTTACCTTGAAGTTAGGTGGAATATATTTCAAAACACTAAAACAGGTCATAACGTAATGCCGTATTTAGTAAGACTTCGCCTCCGTTGCATGATAGATCATGATGAGTAGAGGACCCTACAGTGTATGTCATTTTCTTCCAGCCCAAAGGGTGCTTCATCTTACTTTGCTAATAAAATGTAAAGCAAGTAAACAATATACTGTTGCCGGAATAAACCACTCAAAGTTGCAAGAAACAGCATAACTCTAGTTTGGCATCTGAATGCAAACACACAGTGACCTACCTTGGAAATATTTAAAGGGATCGTTTACCCAAAAAGGACAATTCTGTCATAAATTACTCACCCATATGTTGTTCCAAACCTGTAAAACTCTCATTCTTCTTCGGAACACAAATGAAGATATTTGCAATGAAATCTGAGAGGTTCCTCTCCCAAGTGTTGGGAGTAACTTATTACAAGAAACATGAGTTATGTAATCAGATTACTTTTTTAAGTAACTAGTAAAGTATCTGAGTTACTTTTTCAAATGACTTTACAGTTGCCAAAAATATAACTAATGGGTTTTTGTTATTAAAAAAACAAATAGGCAAGCCCCAGAAGTAATGCAAAAGTAACGCAATGCATTACTTTCCATAAAAAGTAACTAAGTAATGCAATTAGTTACTTTTTTTGTGGAGTAACGTTGCTTTTAAAAGTAACTTTCCCCAACACCACCTGTCCCTCCATTGACAGCCTACACAACTATCACTTTCAAGGCCCAGAAAGGTAGTAAAGACATCAGTGAAGTAATCCATGTGACTCCAGTAGTTCAACCTTAATTTTAAGGAGGCGATGGAAATGCTTTTTGTGCACAGAAAAACAAAAATAACTTTATTCAACAATTTATTCACTTCCGCATCAATCTCTAACGCATGTTCATGAAACATGTTCATCTATCTATCTATCTATCTATCTATCTATCTATCTATCTATCTATCTATCTATCTATCTATCTATCTATCTATCTATCTATCTATCTATCTATCTATCTATCTATCTATCTGTCTTTCTGTCTGTTTTTCTAATAGACTGTATTGCCTTCAAACATTTAGACTTTAATCTTTCAAACTATTTTAAACTGAAAACTATTTCAGACTGAAAACCGTCAAACTTTTCAAACTTTTTTAAACTTCTAAAACTTTTTAAAAACTTTTCAAACGTTCTGGTCTGGCTTTCTCAAGCCAGAAAGCAAACTTACTGATCTACTATTTAAACGTATTATTATTCTTCTGAGCCAAAATGTAAACACTATCTCTTCCTAGAGCTTTCAAGCTACAACCACCAAACACGGGCGCTGTGACACATATATGTTGTGTTGATGCAAAAGCAGACGTTTTCATGATAAACCTTTCATGCCTGCTCTTGATCTCATGTGCACTGATTGCTAGCTTTGATCTCTTCCTGCCTGACCACTATTTTGTTCTCCACTGAACCATCTGAGAAATGGCTTTATTTCAATTTTAATAAAGATTTACCAATAGTTAGCACCAGTGCAAATCCTCTTTTGACGATAAAAAAACTACTGTCAGGATTTACTAAAGAGACGCAGTGAAACTTTAGCAATGAAAAGGTGTAGAGAGTTAATTTTACAGCTGACCTTAATGCATATGCATTTGTAGGAGTTTCTCTTTCAGATGCTAAATTTATGGGAGGAAAGTATTTAAATAAATTGTGCAACATGATTTACTAAGGTTTGCTGGAATCAGTTTACAGGTCAGTCATGCAGTTACAGACTGCAGACTAAGGCAGTATACATTGGAAACAAACCAGTGTATAAAGGATACACATGTATTGTGATTTGACTTTAACATCTGTCTATTCTCCAAAGCTGCTCATTCTCTGTAGGGGTGTAGGGATGCTGTGGCCACAGGGCTCACACACACACACACACACACACACAATTTAATGTCTCCAGTTCACTTATGCCACATGTCTTTGATTTGTGGGGGAATCCCACAAAGACACAAGGAGAGCATAGTAACTTCACACAGAAAGTCCTCTTTGCTAGAATTTGAACTGCTACCTTCAGAATACTTGATAATTTAAACTGTTTTCTTAGAACCCTTTTCTCTAAAGTTTTTGAAACTAAAACATTTGCTAAACAATTGCAATTTCAATTTTACCTCCACAAAAATACACGATTCACTATGCATCTAGGCTTTCAGACTTCTCTTTTCAGCTGTTAATCTTAATAAAGGCCCTAGTGATTTCCACTGTAAGTCCTGATACAATACAGCTGATAAAAAACGGGTAACACATGTTCATAGGTGAACTGCTGTCATAAACTGTAACCTCGCTTTTTTTGAGCTGGAGAGCGATCATTTAAATGGGCCTTGAACTTTGCATTATTGATACAGGTTTTTTGTTAGTTTGTGTTTTGCTATGAGAGACAAGGCCTTTAAACAACTTATAAAGACTGAATTTGACCTTCCATTGTAAATTTCTGGGAAAAGATTTAAAAAAGTCCAAATATAAAATACCATTTTATGTCAAAAGATGGTATGGCCTGGTTCTTTCATTTGGAATTTAAAGAGGTCATATGATGTTGCTAAAAAGAACATTATTTTGTGTATTTGGTGTAATGCAATGTGTTTATGCGGTTTAAGGTTCAAAAAACACATTATTTTCCACATACTGTACATTATTGTTTCTCCTCTATGCCCCGCCTTTCTGAAACGCGTCAATTTTTACAAAGCTCATCGTTCTGAAAAGCGAGGTGTGCTCTGATTGGCCAGCTATCCAGTGCGTTGTGATTGGCCGAATACCTCAAGCGTGTGACGGAAATGTTACGCCCCTTACCATACTGTGTTTCCATCATACAGTCTATGGTTTCCATGTGTCCCCGGCGCGACGAGACAAAACCAATAAAACCCATTACAAACGAGGTAATTGTTGCATCCAGTGGGGACATAATTACTGATTATAATGACTTATACTGTGTTTTTACGCTTTGCGTTGC